TTCTAGAGTGATTAATGTAAAGCACTTCATAACATTGGCAAGTCTTTGAATCTATTGAAAAATGTATATTTTGGCAATTTTTAATACACACTTTAAATTCTATTGAACAGGAAAAAATCAGTAGTGTTTATGGTACATTCAACACCCCCCATCTAAGTCTTAGATAAAGCAGAAACCAAAATAGCAAGTCATACTGTGCACTTTTTAAAAAAATTGGTTGAGCACTACAGAACCATTTTTTTCTTAGTCTCTGACATCAACAAACTAAGTCTGAACAAAATCCAGGTAGCCACATGCTCAAATTTTCCTATTGAAACAAAATATTCAAAGTTTGTTTGTTTTTTAAACAATCAGGAAAAGCTGAGTGGATTTGCTGACAACTACCTCCCTCTCCAAAAAAGGTCTATACCATCGGGCAAAGGATGAAGTATGGACAATTTCATACTGAAGTATTTGTTTGATGAACTTGTGAGCTTAAGGACATGCAAGTTTGTCTGTGCAGAACATCAAGGTTCCAGAGCTCAGTTTTGAAGAATTAATACCCAAGAGAAAAAGTGAAACAATTTAACTCCTAACATACAAGAAGTAAAGAAGCTGAATTACCTGCGGAAGCCAGTTTTCCAGAGAAAAGCAGCAAACACACTGTACATTTACAATAGCTTCTTCACTTTCAACTAGTACATTACAATAAATAGTTCTGCAGGGACCATTCCTATTGATCTCATGTATGTAATAATATACTCCCAACTATTTATGCTGTGTTTTGTACAAATATTGATGTTGCACTTATTAATGGAGAAAATCCATTTTTGCTTACTTACTTTTTGTAGCACCAGACATGCATATAAAATCAAGGAAATCCCTGGTGCTATCTACTTATATGTAATATCTTGAAACAAACATTCATTGCAAGAGAGGATATTTAAGACGTCTACAAAATAAACCCTCTTTCAAAACAGTCTCTAGAAGGAATTCTACCCCTGCCTCCAATTCCCCCCTCCCCCCCATTCTGTAGCATGATTCTCACAGGTATTAGCCATCCAGAGCTCCTGCTGATTTTTAATAGAAATCATAGGTAAACACCATCACTGGAAAAAAAAATCAGGCCACATACAGTTGCTAAAACCTGCACCTACATGAAAATTTTGCTTCCCTATGGCTACAGTCTGGTCTGTTAGAAAGCCACAAAGCAATTAACTGTGCAAAATTCTCCTCAGACTTTTTTTTTTTTAAATGGGCAAGAAATTCCTGTCTCGGTACAACCATTATTATAGAAAGGGGAAAGCAAGTAAGTTTTATTCTTGGTCTGGTAAGCATTCATGACAATTTTGCCAGACTGAGTTCAAGAGCTAGTTTTACATAGGTTCTCCCAAAAGACTTTTGTACATACTGAAATTAAAATCTAGGAACTAACTTGGAATTCCACTTGAGCAAGCTGAAAACAGTGTTGGATTTTAACTCAAATAAAATAAAGGAGTTGAGTGTGTACGTACTTTCATAGACAGAGCAGTTCAACCATAAAAATATTCATATGAGCAAAAATTTAATCTTTTAAGTGAGGGGGTTAAGTTAGCCCTAATTGTGTATCTTGTTTAATTTAGTAACTTTTACTAAACATGGCTTTTTAAACAGAGGATTATATTGACAAAGAGGACATAGGCGCTTCAATCCAACAAGTGCAACAGGCATCCACCACTTAGCTATCATCTAATCTTGTAGGCACCTAAATTTTCTCTACTAGTGAAGTCTACTCAGTGCCTAAATTTCTGCCTATGCTCATGTGCAAAGCTGCCTAAGTCCTGGTGACACCAAGCTACTCAGCCCCTAACTCACTCCTAAGCCCTGGCACGATTTACAAACTAGGTGTTCCCCTGCCTATCTGATAGGCATGCTCAGAACACAATGGACCTGCACAAAAGATAAGGAGGTGTAGATCTCCTATCTAATAGCTCCATGATGATGCTGTTAGTGTAGTATGACATACTGTTCAGAATCACTAATTATCTGATGTAATGCTTCCACTTAAGAAGCAATCAGTTGCATACATACAAAATGGGAAATGAGAGCCTAGGAAGGAATATTGCAAAAAAGGGATCTGGGGGGTCATAGTGGATCACAAGATATTTATGAGACAACAGTGTAACTTTGTTGCAAAAAAAGAAAACATTCTGGAATGTATTCATAGGAGTGTTGTAAGCAAGATATGAGAAGTAATTCTTTCACTCTACTCCATGCTGATTAGGCCTCAGCTGGAATATTGTGTCCACTTCTGGGTGCCACATTTTAGGAAATTTGTGGACAAATTGGAGAAAGTCCAGAGAAGAGCAACAAAAATAATTAAAGGCAGGGCTTTGGAGCTGTGCTCTGGCTCCGCTCCAGCTCCAGGCAAAAACCTGCAGCTCCACTGCTCCGGAGCTGCTCCACGCTCCAGCTCTGGGCTCCGCTCCAAAGCCCTGATTAAAGATCTAGAAAACATGACCTATAAGGGAAGATTGAAAAAATTGGGTTTGGTTAGTCTGGAGAAGAGAAGACTGAGAGGGGACATGGTAACAATACATAAAAGGTTGTTAAAAGGAGGAAGGAGAAAAATTGTTCTCTTTAACCTGTGAGGGTAGAACAAGAAGCAATGGGCTTAAATTGCAGCAAGGGTAGTTTAGGTTGGACATCAGGAACAAACTTCCTAACAGTCACATTGGTTAATCACTGGAATAAATTGCCTAGGGAGATAAAAATCTCCCATGATGGAGATGCCACAAAGAGCAGGTTAGACAAACGTCTGTCAGGGATGGTCTAGAGAATACTTAGTCCTGCCATGAGTACAGGGGACTGGACTAGATCGGTGGTTCTCAACCAGGGATCTGTGTACCCCGGGGTACAGAGAGGTCTTCCAGGGGGGTACATCAACTCATCTAGGTATTTGCCTGGTTTTACAACAGGTTACATAGAAAGCACTAGCAAAGTCAGTACAAACTAAAATTTCATAGAGACAATGACTTGTTTATACTTCTCTATACACTGAAATGTAAATAATATTTATATTCCTATTAATATGATAAAAATGAGAATGTATGCAATTTTCTGTAATAATGTGCTGTGACACCTTTGTCTTTTTAGGTCTGATTTTGTAAGCAAGTAGTTTTTAAGTGAGGTGAAGCTTTGGGGTATGCAAGACAAATCAGACTCCTGAAAGAGTAATAGAGTAAGAGTACAGTAATCTGAAAAGGTTGAGAGCCACTGGACTAGATGACTTCTCAAGGTCCCTTTCAGTCCTATGATTCTATGAACATTTTATTTTATAAACTGTCTTGCTTCAATCATCATAATAGCTGGACAAGTGACAACAGACTGGATAAAAATGTTCAAAACTTTTTTCCCCTAGTGAAAAATGCATATTTGGCTCAACTGAAACATTTTTCAAATTCATGTTGAATTCAAATTGTTTTGAATAAAAACACTGAAAAAGCTAAATGCTTTGCATCAACATTTTTGAAACAAAATGTTTCACTTTTCTAATTTGAAATTGCTTTTCCTTTCAAAAGTTTGGTTCAATTAAAAAAACCCCTAAACTAAACATTTCATTTTGAGTCAAATGAAAGATTTGTAGGACCCTAAACAAAATCTGACATTTTAAGTTCCACAGCTGAATTAGAAAAAAGCAAAACCAAAACAATAAGTAGTTATTTGCATAGCTCTAGATGATAAATACAGATTGCCCACAGCACAAGCAGCCTCCTTCCTGTTATAACTCAGTCATTCATTCCTAATGACAACTTGTATTCAAACAACTAAAATGCTTAAAAGCAATGTGTTTTGTACCCTGCTCTGAAACTGCAGAGATTAGTCATCCCCCTACCAAAAAACAAACTGCAAGGTGAATTACTTTTTGCAAATTATATCACTTATCAAAAAAAGCTTTTTTCTTCAAAGCTTTCAGATACATCAAGAGTCTTTAGTAGGAAAGAGAGATATTTTTAATAAAATTCCCACTTTTCCTCTCTAACTTAAAAAAAACAAAAAACATATGGGTACTGTTAGTTCAGGAAGATAAGTTTCTAAAAATCAGAAAGATTAATAAAACATTTCCTGAAATTTCAGTTTCAGAGTATTAGGTGGGTGGAGGAGAAGGGAGAAGAAAATAAATCAATTAAACCTATTTTGTAATTTGTTGAGATGCGAACATTTGCAATGTTCAACAATCAAACACTGCGATACTCGCTAGCAGAGAAAAGCCAGACAGTAAACAAACTGGAAATAAAATGTAATTACTAGTATTATTTCTTTGTCCAAGAGGACAGATATTCAGACACACCAAAAGTTAACATTACATTAGTATTTACAAAGTTCAGTTTAAATAACAAACAATCTAAGTAGGGAAATAAGGACATCGGATTTTAAAACAGTATTTTGAATCCGAAAGTGTCCCTTTAAAAGCATTAGTTTCTTCAGTGCAGCATTTCAGAGAGGCTGGACCAGTTTCACAGCATTATAGCGGTAGCATATTGTAGAGACAGGACTTGATGCAATTTGACAGCAACCCCGCGGTTCTCGTGGGCAAAACCTGGAGCTGCAGTACCAGCTGTCTTCCCCAACTCCAGCTTTCATTTCCCCTCTCCCTGCTAGGACTACACAACCTCCCCTCCCCCGCGCCACCATTCCCACTGACCCGCTCCCTCCCGGGGCTGCACAGCCGCCCCCCTTCCCCATTAACCCTCGCCCTGCTGGGGCAGAATCCCCCGCCCCCTGTCCCGTTCACCCCAGACCCTCTGATACACTGCCCCGAGCCCTTGCTCCCGGCAGGCAGGGGGAGAGGATTAATGGGAACCTGCCCGCCGCCTGCCCCTCACACGGAGCGGGGCGCCCGGCCGCTCCCGGTTCCACCGCCCCGAGTGCCGTGCCCCGCCCCCACCCGAGGCGGGCCGGACGTTTCCCTGTGGCGAGCAGCCGGCGCTCCCTCCGGAAGGCTGCGGGCACTGCCCCACCCGAGCCCCGCGCACCCCTACCTGGGGTGGGAGGGCAGGCGGGGGCTAGTGTGGCCGTAGCACCTCCCCCATCCCTGCCGGGAGAGCCCTTCGCTGCTTGCCACACGCAGGATGCTCCGGGGGCAGCGGGTGGCGACAGCTCCGAGGGCTCCTCCGACAAGCCACTCACTGCGGGATCGGGTTACGGCAGCCTCGGCCTTAAAGGGGCCGAGCCTCCGCCACCTGCGAGGGATGCTGCTGCCCGTAAGTGCCGGGTGCACTGAGGTGGAGCTAGCGGCCTCCGCACGCACACGGTGCCCCGTGGGGATGGGGTCTGGGGGAGGTGGGCGGATCGAGCGCCCCGTCTCCACCCCGTGGAGATGGGATTCAGGATTTGGGGGGGCAAGTCGGGGTGACTGCCTCCTCGCCCACCCGCAGAGCCCCCTGATGCTAGGATGTGGGGGGCCTTCCCAGTTGGCTCCCAGCCTCCACCCTTCTGAGATTTCGAGACCCTAGGCACGAAGTATTGAATGTCTGATGTTTGGTTTTAAGGGCTGCTACGATACGAGATATTAACAGGGGGTGTGGAGTGACTAGGACAGCACAAGAATTAACGTTTGAGATTTTAACTACAAAGCAGTCAGACACAGCTGAAGTTATAGGTTCCACAGCAAACCATTTTTAGTATCTTCCGTGCAGGACAAAGTGTGTGTATGTATAAACACACACACATGGGGGATATTCTAAAGAAACTCAGCCTTGATTTTCTGAAGTCTCAATTGTACCATTGCATTAAAATAAATGCAAAAGCTATCTAACGAGACAACGATCAAAATAAACGTAATCTACAAGAAATATGTAATAGAGCAAAAATAGGCGCAGCTCATAATATGTGCCTATCCAGATCTCAACTCCGGCACTTGGTTAAATAATTACTGTACCTCGGAATAGACATAGTGGATCAGACCAGCGCTCCATCTAGTTCAGTATCATGTCTTTGTCACGAATACCAGAGAGAAACACTACAATAGGAACTTCTAAAATCTGCCCAAAGTTTCTTCCTTAACGCACATCAATGCACCATACCAAATGCCACCTATGGCTATGTTGGTATGGAAATAATTCTGATTGCAAAAGACCCGGATCTACACAGATTTTATAGTTTAGGGGCAGACAGCAACATTAGATCATTCACACACCATATATGTCAGACTAAGTTACCAACAGAATTTGGCCCACTATACTTGTCAAGGTACAGTTTATATAGCTGAATATTCTCATTGTCTAGAAGAAATCATTTGCTGATTTTATTGTCTGAGGTCTAGATGTACATTCATGCATGCCTCAGTACAGTGTGAAAAATACCATAAAACAAAGCGCCAGCTCATCCAAAGGAACAGGTGCATTAGCACAATTACCCTTGGACTTTCTCCACAAGACTACAGGAATAGAAGGGGTTTCATTTTAGGGCCAATCCTGCAGGACTTATTCAGATAGAGTTATAACTGAAGTCAAATAGAATGCTGCATGAGTAAATACTGTAGATAGATCCCAAACCTGCAGTTTTGCAGTAGAACCTCAGAGTTACGCTCACATCATGAATAGAGATAGTTCATGACTCTGAAATGTTGGTAACTCTGAGTAAAATGTTTGGTTGTTCTTTCAAAACCCTACAACTGAACATTGACTTAATACAGCTTTGAAACTGTACTATGCAGTGGGAAAATGCTGATTCACTTTATTTTTTTTTAAATTAATTAATTTAAATTTAACAGTACTGTATTGTATCAGCTGGGGGCAGGGGGTGGAGGTCTCTACTGCTGTCTGATTGTGTGCATCTGGTTCCAAATGATGTGTGGGGTTCACTGGTCGGTTTGTAACTCTGGTGTTGGAAACTCAGCTTCTACAGTAATATTCAAATTATAAACAGAGGAAAAACAATGGAAACAGTTATAAGCACGTAGGTTTGTCGTGTGTGAAGTATGGAAATTCCATTTCACTAAGGATTGAATTTTTTTTTAAATTTGGCTTCATTTCAAATTGGAACAAAAAACTCAAATTTTGAAATTCTCCACAAAAGAAATTTTAAAAAATTGTTCCATATCAGTTGAAATATTTCATTGACTTTAACCTTTTAATGTTCTAATAGAAAATAGAAAATTCAAAACAAAAAGTTGGTTAAAAACAAAAAATCAAAATGTTTTGTTCTAAAGCATATTCCAACTAGTTTAGAAATCCAAAGGAAGATGTAAATATTCATAAAGAAATATTTTGTAATAAAAAGATGTAAATAATGGATTGGTATATACTAAACAGAGCTGGTCAGAAAAACTCAATTGAAAATGTAGTTCTGTCAAAATGGAAACACTTTACAAAACCATATTGATTTTGCAGAAATTTCATTTAACAGAAAAAACTAGGGAGGAAAGGTCCAACAACTTCCCATTTCAACATAGTTGGAATAAAATATTGATTTTTCATTTTGAAATTATTTTCATTTTTTTATTTTGTTGTAGCATGGCAGGCACTCACCGCCAGCACCCCCTGCTGGTCATCCAGGAATTAGCTCAGTTCCAGCTTTGGAGCTCCTCCTGCTGACTGGTGTCTTCCTACCAATGCTTGTTTCTTCCTGATCTCCACCACTTATAGCACTTCAGGCCCCACGTCCCTCCCAGGCGCCAGTGCCCCTTACCTTGGGGTGCTGCCCCACAGCAGTGCCCCCACACTCTGGTTCTCCCCTTCCCAGGAACCCCAATCTTCTAAGACCACTTCACCCCAGTGACCCACTACCAGGCCTCATCTAGCCCCTTCCCTCAGGGGCAAACTGCAGTCCAAAGTGGTCACTCATCATTAGCAAGGGGGTTTGGACCTGCTTCCTTTCCAGCCCCAGCTGCCTCCCTGTAGCCCTAGTACCTCCCCTGGCCTTTAGCAAGGCCTTAGCCTGGGGGGTCCCCAGCTCTGCCTGCCCTTCCCCAGTACTGCTCTGTCTCAGGTACCCTGCTTGCTGGCCTAGTCCTCTCTACTTCTCAGCTAGAGCAAGAGCCTTCTCTCACTCCCTCAACCTGCCCTTTTATCAGGGTCAGCTGGACCCTAGTTGGGTGTGGCCACACCTGTGACTGTTTACCCAACCAGCCTCCCCAGGCTGCTTTTAACCCCTTCCTAACCAGAGCGGGGTGACAACCCCACTACATTTGTATTATATTTAAAAAGTCAAAATCCAAACAAAACCATTTTGTCAAAATTAAACATTCTGATCTAAACAACTTTTTTTAAAAAATTTTCTTTCATGGAGAATTATGAAATTTTCAGGTTTTGTTACTATTCAAAATGAAGCTAAAATTCAAAATTCTTTGCAAAATGGAATTTCCATCGTCTGCACAGTTCTTATACTAGGAATATATTTTGTAATAAAAACAATAATTTAATCCCTCCCTTTAAACACACACACACACACACACACACAACATTCAGGGTATCCCACCCTAAAGAGACATTCAGATAGTGCCAAATTCATCAACAGGGTTTGGAGAATAGCCATTGCCTTTAATAAAGTAATTTGCAGGGTCCTGTAGCCTCATTCTGATCCTTGTCATAAATGCTGGTATTCACATTTGTGATGATTTATGGTGCCAAAATATTTATCCTGGAATTGGGTAATGTGTGTCTGAGCTACTGGAAGATGCTATGTTGCTGCTTCCACAGATTTTACTATGTCTGTTTTTGTGCCCTTATCCTATACACTGCATAATTAAGTCTCAAACAACAAATTTTAAAATCACTTTTTAAGTTGTTATTCTTTATTAAGGGTTCCGTATGTAAGATCTTGTTTTTTCCTCCCTCCATATTCCCTACTCCTATGTTGCTTTGTATGCTCTTCCCTCAAACTATGTGACAAAGGTAAATCAAAAACCGCATACTCCACTTTCCCTATTCTGCCTCTTTATACAGTACCATTAGTCTCAGGACAGAAAACAAGCTATTTTCCTTGTTTACAGGCCCATCTTTACAGGCATTAAGGAGGCAAAACAACCATTGAAGTCTGTATGAGTTTTACCTGAATAAGGACTGCATGGTGGAATCATAAAGTACTTCCAGGAAGAAACACACTACAGAAGTGCTAAGATAATTTTTCTTCACTATTCCAACAGAGAGCAGCCCATCTACATTATTCAGCAGAAGACCACCAAACCCTCAACATTTCCTTCACCGTACTCCTTCCCCTCCTCAAAGCTGTGAAGGCTGCCTTCTTTCTCGATAAAGAACTGGTCTTCAGAATTCTGGAAGGCTTTGAAGTGACAGTTAAGACTGTAACTGTCATTGTCAGAGCTGACAGCTATTCAGGTTGTCTGTGGGCCCTACGACTAGGGAGAAGGCTTTTCAGATCAGGATTCTACTTCCTGGAAGTTGTAGACTGTCAGGATAGCCCTTGTCCTGTCATTCAGGAGTTACAGAGCTAGAATACAGCAAGGGCATCAGAGATTGGATTTACTTCCAGCCTCTAGATCCTTCTCCCAGCTAAAAGTGATTTTCAGTGGGGCACTATACACGTTAAATATTTAGGGCCAAATTCTGCTCTCATATGATCACCTGCAATTCCCATTAAAGACAGTGGGAAAGATTGGTTCATTAGTGGAAAACCATTCTATGCATTCGCAGTACACATTTTTCAAAGACTTACAGCTTTGTTATTTCAGAACCAAAATTCTTTACCTCTGAGGCACTGCTCTTCAGGGATGGTTAAATCCGTATTGAGTTTTCTGTGTTAAAAAGTAAGGCATTTGTGAATCATTCAACTGCATTTGAAAATGGTTCCAGTTATGAGAAACTCTTGTTTTATGTTCATCTTACTGAGAAACAATCTAACAGAATTTTACCCAGCTTTCCACACAATATGCAAAATTACTTTTGGTCCAAGAACAAGAATGAGAAGTTTCATTCTAGAGAGAATTTTTTCAATAAACTATCATACAAATAAAAAACAAGAGCTTATAATGAGTGGGGTGCTGTAGTTCACAGAGTCAGAATTTGTTGTATGCCTAAGTAGAGTTCCTGGGTCTCACTGTCAGCAGCAGGAACCACTTCCCAAAAATCAGTAGGGCATGCAGGCAGAAATTTCATGAGGATGGAAAAGCACATAAAAGGTAGAACCTGAGTCTCCTGTCACAATGGTGTGGATCCGAAGTAACTCCAGTGAAGCCAATGGAGTTACAGTGGTGTAAGTGAGAAGAGAACCACACTCATAGTTTGGAAGCTGCTTAGGCCCCCAGTGGAGTCCGCTCATAAATCTCTGGCAGGTAA